AATAGGCTTAGGATAGCATGTATTGGCAGACGCTGTGAATTGTTACGGCTAAAATGGGATTCCCACATACCTTCATATATTTGATTTCTCAATGTTTTGTGAATCCAAAAATTTCCATCTTAATCAATGAGACTCGTTCAAATTGGGTAAAGGTGGAGTCTGGGTTTTGTCACGGTTGACCCCTTTCTCGCTATTTGTTCATTACTTGTTCTGAGTTACACTCCCAGGTTTTCAAACAACGATGATAGCACCAGGGCATTTCAATTTTAAGGCAAAGCGACAAAATTTTTAAGATGCTGTATGTTGACTATATCCTCTTGCTATCCGAAGCTTCGACTACTGTAGCTAGCGCATCTCATCCATTCTTTTTTATTATTGCCTATTGTCTGGACAGAAGATTAATAAAGCTAAACCTATGGTCCTCTTCAGCAAGGTTACTGGCACCTGAAGAAGAATCAGCTTGCCAATATATTTGGAATTCGCAAAGTTACAGTATTCGACTACCTTGGAATAAAGCTGGCTTTACGGTGACTTGTGAAGAGTGACTTCTCTGCTCTCATCCAAAAAGGTGTTGCTAAAATCAACAATTGGGCGATCTGTCATCTCTCATTTGCCGACTTCTCCACTTTGATCAACTCGGCCCGCTTGGCACAACCAACTTCTCTGCTCATGTATACAGAACTCCCGGAGCTGTGCTGTTGACAATTGAGAAATTATGACACAACTTCCTTTGGAGAGAGATTGCTTTGAGGGACATTGGTGTGAGAGCTGGTTTGCAGTTGGTGAATCCAAATGTTTTGAGAAGCTCCCGTGCATTGTGTGTTTGGTTTAGAAAATAGCCTTGCAGGGTGTAAGTAATCTGTATGCCCAAGAACAGAGAAATCGGTCCTAGCTCTTTGAGGGAGAAAGCTGTTTGTAGTTTGGAGAGAAGCTATTGAGCTATGGGTTGATGACATCCTGTGATAAGCATGTCATCTACATACATTAGTAGATATATTTGAACATTGTCATGAAATTAGATGAGGAAGGAAGGGCCAAATTTGCTGAAAGTGAAGTCAAAACTGAGAAGAATGAGGTGAACTTATTGACCATTGCGTTGGAGCCTGTTTAAGATTGTACATAGCTTTATGGAGTTTACAAACATAATTGAAAAATCACGCGTCTATAAATCCTGGTGGTTGCCTCATGTAAACATCATTTTTGAGATCTCCATGAAGGAATGCATTGGAGGCATCTAGTTGGAGAACAGGCAAGTTTCTGTGAAGAGTGATGATGATTAGAATCCTGATGGTAGGTATTTTTGCAACTGGGCTAAATGTTTCTTTATAATCTATATCATACTCTTGGTTGAAACCTTGAGCAATTGGACGGGGTCACGGGCTTTGTAACGGCCTATCCATCCATCAGGTTTGAGCTTGATTTTGTAGGTCCGATGGCAACCAAGTTTTGATTGATTTGTTGGAGCTGGAACTAACGACCATGTGCCCTGTTTTTGGGGTGTTAGGAATTCAGCTGACATAGCTGAACGCCAAGATTGATGTTTGGCAACTTGAGTGTAACATGTAGGACAGTAGGAGTGAGATTGACTTGTGGTGTAGACGAGAGATCAAAGATTGGTATGGTCCTTAGATTCCCTGTGTTAAGACAGGTTTGCATGGGATGAGTGGAGGAACGGGATTGAAGAAGAGGTGGAAGTTCGGGGTTATTAGTTTCTGGAAGTATAGGTTCTGTATGGGATAATGGAGGATGGTTTGCATGTATGAAGGAGGAGGTTTGTGGTGTATTATTTGGGTGGATAGGTGAGCTGATTGTGGAAGGGTCTGAATAGTGGAGATTGGAATGAGTATAGGAGGAGATTGAGAGGTGGAAGATTGTGGAACAATTGTGTTTAAGGATATAGAGCTTTAGGGAAAGTACTTTTCATGAAAGATCACATGTCCGGAGATGTGAATTTTCAGGGTTTGTGGGTTGAGAAAACGATAACCTTTATTATGTAGAGTATCCCAAGAATATGCACTCCTATGATCGTGGTGCGAGTTTGTTAGAGGTTTGATGCTTGAGCCAAGGAAAACATAGACAACCGAATGTTTTGATATGGGTATATGTAGGTGGATGACCCTGTAAATGTTAGAATGGAATTTGAAGATTACAAGCCTTGGTAGGTAGACGATTGATGATGTAATTTGAGGTAAGTAAATCTTTGGCCCAGAAAAATAGTGGAAGGTTTGCTGCATGTAGCAATGTACAAGTTATATCAAGTAAATGTCTTTATTTTCTTTTTATCAACCCATTTTGTTATGGTGTGTAGGGACAGCTTAATTGATGTATGATGCCATTATCTAGTAGGCATTTCTTGAAGTTATGGCTTGTGTACTCACCACACCCATTAGGTTGAAAGGTTTTAATTTTGGAATTGAATTGATTTTTCAGCCATTTGAATGAATTATTGAAATTTGGATACTGTCTCATCTTTGGTGTGCATTAAAAATAGCCAACAAAATCGAGAATAGTCATCAATAAAGATTACATAGTAACGATAACCATTAATGGATGAGACCATAGCCGGACCCCAAACATCTGAATGAATTAGAGTTAAAGGTGTGGTAACATGAGTAGAGCTTGTAGTAAATGGTAGTTTGTGGATTTTGGCCTTTACATGATTTGCATAAAAAGACGTGGAGGAAATACATAGTGACGGGTTGATTTTAGATATTGTATTCATGAAAAGCTGATGAGGGTGGCCTAAGTGAGCATGCCATAGTGAGGTAGAGTTGAGTTTGGAATGAAATGCAGTGGAGGAAGGAGCTTTGCTTGTAGACACCAGATAAAGGCTGTCACGAATGCAACCATGAAGGAGAGTTTGGTTGTCCAATAGATCCTTGATAATGAATCCAGAGGCATCAAAGGAAATAGAGCAATTATTGTCAGAGGTAAGTTTGTGCATAGAAAGGAGATTGTGAGATAGAGAGGGGACATGAAGGAGATTGTGGAGAAATAGCTCACGATTCAAATCTAGAAGGGGCAGGATACCTTGGCCACTGTGATGTATGGGAAGGGAGCTGCCGCAATGGAGATAGAGTCGGCACCTTGGTAGGGGATTGGCTGTTGAAGATTGTTGGCGTCTATTGTCAGATGCTTTGAGGCTCTAGAATCAAGCGCCCATTATGTAGGTGAACTTTGTTGCTGGTGAGTAAATAAGGCACGAGGTGTCCAAGAGTTGGTTGGGATGTATTGAAGATTGCAACTATGCCAACAGGAGGTAACAAAATGTCCTGGTTTGTGACAGATTTGACAAATTTGTCTCAGAGGGGTAGGAAAGGATGATCCACGACCAACAGTGAATAATGGTTTGGAGAAAACTCCACGACTGCAAGTGAAGCGGGATTGGTTGGAGTGTTTGTTTCTGTCTCGGATTGATCTAGTTTTGGGTGAGTACAGGGCTAGATTTTCTTTTAGAGCAGTTGTGTCTTCTAGCAATTCGTTATGTATATTGATCTCCTCACTGCAGAGCATGGAGTAGCTGATGGGATTGAGAGAAGTATGGATGTTTGTCTTGAATGAATTGTACTTTAAAAGTAGACCATTTAATATGTATAAAATGAAGTCCTCTGAGTAAACTTGAGAGCCTGCCGCTGCTATGTTGTCTGCTAGAGCCTTGATTTGAACAAGATATTGATTCATGGTGTTGTCTACCATTTGGATGTGGTGGGTTCATTTTTGAGTTGTATGACATGGGGTCTATTTGTAGGTTGTAGTATTTTCTCTAGAATAGTCCAGATTTCATGGGCAGTGGTGAGATTAAGGATATATGGTAGAATCAAAGGAGATATGGTGGAGAAGAGAACAGAAACCAAATTATAATCGACGAGATGCCATAGGCAATAATCTGAGGTAGTAGAGGTATTGCCAATGGAGGACGGGGTCGGCTCGAGAGGGTGAGGTTGTCTGCCAGTTAAGTACCCTTCAAATTCATTTGCTGAAAAGAGTTTGTAGATCTCAAGTCTCCAAATTGAGTAGTTTTCATTGTTGAGCTGAATGTTGAAAATGAGCTTAATATTTGACATTAGAAATTTGAGTGGGGAAGGTATGGTGAATTCTTTCATGGAAGCAGAAAGAGCGGATGCAGACTGGGTACTTGAGAAATCCTGATCTGCCATCGAAGACGAGAGTAGGAGCTGCGAAGCTTATATCTCTGATACCATGAAGACAAACATGAATTGAACTAAGGAGAAATTCAGAAACGCAGAGAGAGGAAAGCTTTTTAGTAACAGTAATTCTGTATGTTCCTTTTCAATTGTTACACTATTTGAGAGTTTGTATAGAGGTGTAGGAGACAAGTTGGTTAGAGAATTTTGTGATGTCGTTATCAGCAAGTCGTGACTGCAGCACATATGGAACAGTTTGAGAATAATGCTGTAGTGGAGAGCAGAGGTCCTCAGTAATTTTTGCTGGCAGTTTGTGTGTGCTAACAGTTCTTCATCCTAAGATGGTGCAAAGAGCTGATGAGGATAACTTCTAGAAGTCTATTGTACTTACTCCATTTTATCTTATCCCAATTAGATTTATAAATATGATTGCACCCCTATTTCTAAGGAGAGAGTGGGAGATGCCATTGGAAGTATAACTAGCTGCAGATCACCTCATTCAATCTCAAAGGTTAGAGTAGCTTTTTTTTATACTTAGGCTTCGTTTGGGACGGTTTTTTTTACTGCTTCTTGAAGCAGCTATCTAGTACAAAAATTTTAATTTTTATACTAAAAAACTGCTTCAATAAACAATAAAAAAGCCGTCCCAAATGAAACCTTAGATTAATCAAATAAGATTAGAGCATAAATTTGATACTCTAATCAATCTCGTACAAAGTTTTTTTTTATAAAGGGTACATCAGGAGAGAAGTGAGACTTATTTTAACTCGTTAAAAGTATGTTTCCAACATTTGAATTATATTTTTATTGCAGTTTTTTTTTGTAGCATATTGATTATTTATGTTACTTAATTAGGGAACAAATGTGTTGCTGCCCAATTGCCTATAGTTTTGATGCAGTTGTATTGGATGAATCATTTAATAGTATCTACTTTTCAAAAGCTTAGGAGAAAAGAGTCCTCCAAGTCGACTGATGTAGCAATCATGTATGTCAATTGTATATGAGGTTAAGTATTTGAAGTCATGAGTTTAGGATTTAGGCTTCGTTTGGGACGATTTTTTTACCGCTTCTTGAAACAGCTTTCTAGTACAAAAGTTAAAATTTTTGTACTTAAAAGCTGCTTTAAGAAGCAACAAAAAAGCCGTCCCAAACGAAGCCTTAGTCATATATTTTGAATGAATTGGAACAAAGCATGTAAGATTATGTATGAGATCTTACTTCCTATGATCTCTATGAAGTTTTTTATAATTGTGAACCCTCGTGCATCTCATTAAGAACCATGACAACATTTAATAAGTGCTTTCAGATGTTGTTGAAGCAATTATAGCTATTTTACTACAGACATGAAGTTATTTCTCCAGATCTCATTGGATGTGGAATAGAGCCTCTACAGATGGAAAAATTATTACGTTCGGATAAAATATCGAGCATACCGAGTATATCAAGCGCGGTACAGAGTGCGGTACCGAGCATGGTATCGAGTGCTTGAGTGACGTGGTGCTTTGTTATTGGTCTCTGGATGCATTCGGTGTCCGGACACAATAATTACTCCTACAGATGAGGTCACAATGGTTATAGTAAGAGTCCATTTTAAATTTAAAAAGAAATAAATAAATCATTTAAATTATTGCATATAGAGTCTGATGATTGCTTCGTGTGTTATTTGTAGTAGTGATTATAGTGTATGTAATATAATTCTTGATATATATTGTTTAAAAGAAAATTCTTCTTGATGTCATATATGATCACATATTATTCTTTAATGATTGTTTCTATGTATATTTAGGCTTTTTAATTGCTTTCTAAAATAATTTTTTAGCTCAAAATTTCTTAAATTAAAAGATTTTGTACTAGAAAGCAGTAAGAAAGCGACCTCAAATGAAACCTTTTTCTGCAATAATGTAGAGTCATAGGATATTGATCGTTCTGATGTGACAACTAATTCTTTAATTATATTTACTTTTTCGTTAAACAAGTTTATTAAACTCTATTGCGATTGATGTGGATGGATTTTGGCTTCATTTAGTACAATTTTCTTACTGTTTTGTTTTTCAGATCTCAAGCACTATTTTTCAAAAAATTTGTATTAAAAAACTGTTTTTTACAACAGCTTTAAAAATTATTTTATATGGAGCAATTTTTACAAGATAGTAAAAAAAGTTATCAAAAATGAAATCTTGTTATGGATGTTATAAACTTACATAATTTTTGTGAAATGAGCATTGTCTTGCGGCAAAGAATTTTCTTGCCACCCTTCTTATATTTGATCTATATTTTCTTTCCTAATTTTACTGTATCTATTTATTTTACTGATGCATTATCAATACATGATGGATGCCCAAACTATTTATAATATGTTTTTATCATTTTATGTTCAATATATATTACTCATGTATAATCATTTTTAATGTAATTATTTATCATTTTTATCTTCAGAATATTATCACACATTTTAAATACAATTTTTCACAAGCTTTACTTATGTATCGATTTTTTTATCTCATAATTGAAAATTTTCAACATATTGATCAATTTTAAATTCATAAACCATTTATTTCACTACATAAAAAATCAAGCGGATGGAAGATGATTGTTGCACGCGTGAAGGTCGTGGAATAGGGTGAAATATTTTGTGCGGACGGTGTCCGGAGGCAAATTAGAGAGCATCACGTCACTTTTTTGTTGTGTATTGGATGATGTGGTGCGTTTGGATTAGCCTCCGAGCGGTCTAGTGACTGCACAGAATAATTTCTCGTGAAATAGGCCTTTCAAATGATGGTTATGGCATGCAAATGTTGCATCATATGTATTGTAGGGGATGGTTGATGTCCATTACAGGCTTTGTTTAGGATAATTTTTTTATTAATAACAAATGATGCATTTCATTATTTCACATGAAGTAATCGAAAAGTCTTTCCTTGGCTACTTAGGCTTTGTTCAGGATTGCTTTCTTACAGCTTCTTAAAACAGTTTTTTTTTTTAAATTATATTTTGTACTAAAATTTATTTTAAAAAACAATTATAAAGCCGTCCTAGACGAAGTCTTAGGCTTCATTTAGAGCAGCTATCTTCCTGCTTCTTAAAACAGCTTTCTTGTAAAAAATTAAATTTTTTGTTTAAAAAGCGGCTTTAAGGAAAGAAAGCCATCCCAAACACGAAGCCTTAGTCGACTAGATCTTTGTTAGCCGAAGTGGCAAATTAGGGCGATCTAGTGGTGACTACAGACAAATTGACAGCAATTGAAGAAGATTTTGATAATTAAAGCTTGAGGTCTTATTTTAATAGTAGCATCTTATTGAAACTATGCAAAAAAAACACTTGAATGATCAATTCAACCTTAATCAAATTAATAAATTTGGGTTGTTCCTCACACCATATGGGTCAATAATCAATTTTAGTTCTTAAAATATTTTGAACATAAAATAATGGTATACTTTTTATTCCACTAGTTGGGCAACCATAACCAAATCATTATAAAAATTGTTTTTAAAAAAATTCAATGGAAGTCTCACATACCAAAATATATTCTTAATAATTTTGCTATATGCATGCAAAATCTTATATAGCTTAAAGTGATACTTGTTCAATATTTGATATGTTTGCATGAAAAATGCTTAAAATATAAAATACTTGAAGCATTCTTCTTGTCTATAACACAAATCATATAAAAAATAATGTAAGTCTACCAATTTATGATTTGTTTGAGACAACTTTCTTGCTGCTTTTTAGAATAATTTTCTAGGATAAAAATTTCTTGATTTAAAAATTTTGTAATAAGAAGTTGTTTTAGAAAGCTCTTACTGCTTCTTAAAGGAGCTTTCTAGTACAAAAATTAATTTTTTAACTAAAAAACTGCTTTAAGAAGCAGTAAGAAAGATGTCCCAAATGAAGCCTTAATTAGGCACAATAATCTAACAAGAACCAAGCTTTTTAGGCTTCATTTGTGATAGCTTTCTTACTGCTTCTTAACACAACTTTTTAATTCAAAAGTTTTGATTTTTGTATTAGAAAGCTGCTTTAAGAAGCAGTAAGAAAGCCATCCCAAACGAAGCCTAAATATGATTCGATGGTTGCTTCTCATTCAAATAATATTAGAACCAAATAGATTGAATTCATAGTAGTAGTTCCAAAAAATATTCGATGATTGAAGCCATTTAATTCTATATTGGCCCAAAAACCTATTTGAGTCTAAACTTTTCTGAATGATTCTACTAAGGTCTCATTTGAAACAGCATTCTAATTGTTTCTTAAATTTAAATATTTTTTATTAAAAAGATGTTTTAAGAAGCAGTAAGAAAGTTGTACCGAATAAAGCCCAATGATAAATGTTATAGCTTATCAAGTGATTATCATGTAGGTATTAGATGTTTTATTGAGTCATAAGAGTCTTTATGATGTCTAATATGAATACTTCTCGTGTGCTGATTGGGTCGAGCCACTGTGCCTATTTAGTATTTACTATTATAGTTATTATGTGTTTTATTAGGCTATAAGGCTTTTTATGATCTATAAATACTTCCGATATGGAGAAAGACTTGTAATCTTTATAGAATAACTCAATTCCTTCTCTCTTTCCATTTGAAGGTCTAGACAAGCTACAATTAGCAAGCTTGACCAGCTCAAAATTAGCCCCCTATCTTACAGCTCAAAATAGATGCTTTTTTTTCTTCGTTTAGGCTTCATTTGGGATGACTTTCTTACTGCTTCTTAAAGCATCTTTCTTTTTTTTTGGGACATTTAGGCCATTTAAGGCAAACTCACACACACAACGCATACACAAAGATTCGAACCCAAAACCTCTTAGTTGAAAGCATAAGCTCTCAACCAACAGGCCAAGGTGAGCTGTGTAAAGCATCATTCTAGTATAAAAATTTTATTTGTTGTACTAGAAAACTGCTTTAAAAAACAGTAAAAAAACGGTCACAAATGAAACCTTGATCTTGAGTTCTTTTCAAAAGTACTATAACTTGTTTAATTGGTAGATATTTAAATACAAAATTCAGTTTTATTCAATTACTTACTCATTTGGACATACAAAATTATTTGTTAATATGATAACACATGGAAATTCTTCAATTACTTTGTTACGTGTTAGAAATTTCATGGCACTAGAGAGACGATTTTACATCTTAATTTTATATAAAGATCTAACATACATAGACAAATTTAAAGATGTTGGAATTACTATAGGTTTTAAGTGTAAAAGCCACGAAAGTAAAGAACTATGGGCTAACTTCAGCTAAATTTATTCATTAAGTAAAAATATTGTTGCTTGTCCCCAAATTAGAGAAGGCTAAGTTACGAGAGTATTAGTTGCTAGTGAACAATATCATAGAGTCAGTAGGGGATGAGAGCCATTCAGACGATTGTGGTAGAGTGACGGTGGTCCGATCATGGTCTTTAAATGACAATGATTTGATAACGAAGATCGTGTGATGATGAGGCTTGTGTGGCGGTAGTTTTATAATGATAGTTGGATAGACGTGGCCTAATGACAGTGGTATGGTGGTAAAGGTGGTCTAATGACATTAATCAAGCGACAATATTCTAACAACGGTTGTCGAGTAACGATAGTTCAATGATAGAGATTGAGTGATGACAATTAGATAATGGAGGTCGAGCAATGGCACTTTGATGCTAGAGGTTAGGTGATAATGGTCCAACAATACCGATCTGGGCGATGATGATTCAATAGTGCTAGTTCAATGACGGTGGTTTGGAAGCAATGGTCTAATGGCTGCAATTAAGCTATGGTCTCGGGGTCCAACGATGCTTAAGGTTGGGCAGAGTTCTTGGATTCTTTATGCTTCCCGGCTCTCTTGAATCTCGAAAAAATATCCTTCATATAAAGAGTAGGGGTATATTTATTGATTTTGAATGCTTGCCTCATAAATATAACATAAATTCAAAACATTTCATCATACGATTTGTACTGAACTTTTTGGATTTGTCTCAAGGAGATTTAGGGGTAGTGCCCAATTTCATTTTATCGTATATAAATAAAAAAAAATGTCAAAAGGCAAAAATGAGCTGCATCATTGCTCAAAAAAGAGCAACCAGAACAAAAAAAACCCAAAGTAGAAATATAAAACATGTAAGCTCATAATTTATTGAATTACATCAGCAGCAAATCAACTTCACTATAACTAGAACTAATGCTATATTTACATAACTTGTAAGAAGCTTGAGTACACCCCCTACCTATTAGTAGAGATCATAGAGATGGCCCAGGCCCGGTACAGACATGACCCGGCACATGCCCGCCCATCTTTGTACCTACAAGTAGCAATTTTCTTATTTCCTTTTTTATTTTATTTTTTTGCTTAATTTATATTTTTTTTTTAGAGAGTGAAGCCCTCGCAGCGCGACCTCTCATATAAATTTTTATTTTTCTGTTACCCCAATTTGCTCGCGTTGCTCGCATCCTCGAGCCCCAATCTCTGCTTCCCTCACATCATCTTCTCTTTCTCGCTATTGCTCTCCAAGGAAGTTGCAGATTTTCTTTCCCTTTTATAAGTTGTCAGCGCCCGGTGTTGGGGACGCCGCAGATGCACTTGCTGAGGTGCTCGATTTAGATTTTAATTAACATCCAGCTCCCTCTTGATTGTATTCTATAGGTTTTCCTGTTGGGCGCTTGCTACTGGAAAGCTGATTCCCGATTCCTCGTGGTTTTCATTTCGGATGCTGCATGGAAATTCCTTGAATTTGTTTTCTTCCTTGTAGGTGGTTTGGCGTTCTTTCTTATTGGGTAGCTGATTTTGTTGATTAAATTTTGGGAGTAAGCAGGGTTTAAGGTTTTTGGTTGGATTTTCTGGGGGGGCTAGTTTTAGGGTTTATTTGGGTTTCCGTAATTACTTGAAGAACTGCGAGGAATTCAGCTTCTTTGGTTGCTATTTCTGCGCCTTTTTCGATAGGCATTATTAAGATTTGACGCTCTTGCATAGTTTTTCATGTTTTTGAGAAGATTTCTTTTGGTTGTTGTCAAATGGACTGAGGCTTTTCGTATATTTGGTGTATGCAGCTGAAGAAAAGGAGGGGAGGAGAAGATAATTTAGGTTAGATTACTAAAGTTTGACTTGCGTTCATGTCTGGGATCTCTACTGAAGAGCACGAGGCAGGAGGAAGTTCATCGCTTACTGAGGGCATGTCTTCTGGTCAACGGTGCCAATCTATTGACTCTCTTGCAGAATGGCGTTCTAGTGAGCAGTTGGAAAATGGAATACCTTCCACTTCGCCTCCTTTCTGGGACACCGATGACGATGATGAATGTGGTATGTGGGTTATTCAATTCCTGGGTTATGAAAAGAGTGTACAACGTTATTTAAGCGTGGTAGGCTTTAGTTTTTTGTTTCTTATGGGATAATTATGGTGACAAATGCTTCTTTTTTGACTTGTTTTGAGATGTATACTTCATGGTATTGATTTGTGGTAATTTTTTTCAGTTTATTGTTGGATTCTATTGGTCTTTAACTGAGGTAATTGAATTCATATGGCTTGGTTCTGCTAATTACTGCTCAACAATGGAAAATTCAACTTTATGCTGATTTCCTTCTAAAGCCTATATTAAACTTAGAAATTGAATGGTAATTAATTGCTCATCGCAAAGCATGCATATCAAAATGTAATTTTCTTAGAAATGCACAATGAATACGGGACCTGGTGCACTGTATCAGGGTATGACCATGGACAATTCACATTCAAAGCAGCTCTTCTAACTTTGCATGAGCGATAATGTTTTGCACATTACCTCTTGAAACAAAGCACCCCGGAAACCTTACTAATGTACTTTATTAGTTAACAATGCTTCTTTGTTAATAGTTAACAAAACAAATTGTTATGATTAAAACCCAGATCTCTTTCTGGTCTAAAAAGGGATATTTCATGATTCTAAACAAAAGAAGCAAGAATTTATTTATTCTTCCAAAAATAAAAATGAAGAAAATTAGATGCAGAATTGATACTTAATTTGTAGTGTTCCCTGAATTCCGTAGGGAAATCTGTATGTATTTAGCTTTTAAAACTTCACGTTGGACTTATTAATTAGATGGGAAAGTGAATGATGCATTTAATATTTCTCAAGATGCCAAGTATTTTATGGTATTAAAGAATGAATTTTTATAATTCATCCTGTGTTGGATGATTAATATATGAAAATTCCTTGTGTTTGTAACCTCAAACTATTATGCATCAAGCTGGTCTCTTTGTCCTCAGGCTTCAATGATTTTGGCCCATGCAACAAATTTTTTGTGCCATGACAAGTGTATGAAGATCCTTCAATGGCGATAGTGGTTTTGATTTTGTTTTTCATGACTCTTTTCGCTAGTATGATGAGTGATTGATGAATATGATACTCTTTGTATATTGGCATTACCAATTGCTCCATTAAAGGGATGGTGTAAACATTGATATGTTAGGCCATATAGTCTCTTACTTGTTAATGGCTCATGGTGTCTACTGAGGTGGTTTCTCGTGGGACCTTAGGAAAAGGTTGACGAGTTATTATTGAAGTAGAAATGAAAGTGGATGTAATGTGGAAGAGTTTGAAATGCAAAAAATATAGAAGGGGATTTAGAGTAGAGTGTATAGGTTTTACTCAATAAAAGATGGACGACTGTTATATCAAGGCAGCAGTGAATATCTTTGTAGGTGTTGATCCAAATAGTTTATTGCCAACTGCAATGCACATGCGTGTATTCACACAGAGATATATATGTATATCTTAATGGCATGTAAATTATTAGAGAACTATTTCCTTAATTACTTTGTTTATTGGAATAAAAAGTAGTATGATGTTTTGAATGTCAGTGGAACATTTTGAATTATGTTGTTCATAAGCTACTTATTTTATTGCATTCTTTAGTCTTGTTGATGGAATGTGGATGGGATTGTTTCTATTGTTGCTAATATTCTTCATAATTGTTTAAGACCTTTGATTTCATTTATAAAGGACATTTTTGTGACATAATTCATGTTTTTAGCAATTTCATTTAGTATATTTCTTTTTCCTCTACAATGTAACTACTCACTAGTAAATTACTTTCATTTTAGGACCTAAACCCTCTGAGCTCTATGGAAAATTTACTTGGAAGATCGAAAATTTTCGACAGTTGAACAAACGCGAGTTGCGAAGCAATATTTTTGAAGTTGGCGGTTACAAATGGTGGGTGATTCATGTTAAGTTTAAATTTAATTTGACTCGTAATTATTTTGATTTCCATATCATTCACATATGTATATGTTTGTATCTAGAGCTGTAAGTTAATAAGTGCACTTTATGAATAGATCAATATTTGTTTATATAAACGTCATTTATATTCTTTTATTTATATAATTGAATGGTCTTGAGATAAAATTTTATAAGCTTATCGTATAAATGTTGAAGCTTAGAATTCAAATCCCTCTATTTATTTTCATGACCATGCTTGCTTGTTGTTTAGCATATTTCTGAAGACTTCAAAAAAATGCTCATTTAATTATGACTTAATTGCTATTTGATGACATATTCTAGGATATTCTTTTAATTTCTATATATGTTATTTCTATTGGTGTGATTAAAGTATTAAATAAATAGCTAGATATTAGATTTAAATATTTTCTTATTAATATTTAAACTTTACTAATATAAATAATGCCTGATAAATATGCTAATTTTGAATAAAATTTATAAATCCAATTATGCATAGCGATTAGGTTATATGTCCAAATTATTAGCATCAAACATATAATTAATTTAGCTTGATTATGTCAACTTGAATTTGATAAGAAAATGAATATATAAGCTTGAACAATATTTTAAAATGTGAGTCATGTTCAAGCTTGACTTGAACTCAATAAACAAATAAATGAATGGCAATGAATAAGATTGTATTCTACTCGCCTCGAGTCAGTTTACAACCCTAACTGCATTCACACCTATTTGGCTGATTTGCTAAATGATTTAATGCAACTGCTAAGTAATATTCCTATATGCATGCATTTCTAAGTATTTATTTGAGTTGGTAATACAGCTATTTTTGACAACTTTATTTGCTGCAAATGTCTTTAAGAATGCAGAAACATCTTTCATATAAGTAATTGAGCCGACTAACATAAACTATTTTAATTATTGAGCAGGCTGTTCGTGCAGTTAAGTTAGCCATATAATACATTGCAGGTAGACATTTATTTTACTTGTTAGGAAGCAAATTTGATCAATAGTTCATATTACTGACGCGTGCAGACATGAGTTCATTTAGGCTTATCTGACCGCTGAAGTGTAGCAAACATATGATCGTTCATTAGTCTATTGGCGGGAAGAACTTGCTGTCTTATAACTTACATAGTTTGCTAGAACATGAACATCACGTGCCTTTTATTTTTTTTTTTTTTTTTTTTTTTTTTTTTTTTTTTGTTCCAAAAGTAGTAGTTTGGCTTGCTATTTTTAAAAATGCAAAATTTTCCTATGCGTCTGAGTAATTCTTGTATGAAAATGTTATTGTTTTTCAATTTTCATAATCTATTGGAAATTGTATGTGTCTTTTTACATCGCATTTTAATTCGAATTCTATTCTTATCTGGGCTAGGACAGGGTGTCTCGGTGCTAGTTTCTATATGGTTATATCTAATTTGCTAAACAACTGAAAAAATTAGTAATTGGAGTTTCTGAGCAGTATTAAATAGGATTTTTTGTATTTATGTTGCTCTAAAAGATGGAAATAAAGTTTCCAGTGCCTTGATTTCCAAGGAGCTGCCCACTTTAATGAAGAACTTTGCATCACATTTCTTTTATTTGCTCTAAAATGTTTGCAGGCAAAAAGTTTTCGAGTGGCTGTGATTCTGCTAAGCGAGTTTATTATTCATTTAGCCTCTTCTTATCCTCTTTTCTTATAAATTGTTGATGACTTCTGTCGTTGTAATGACTCAATGCCTTCATATAGTTATTTTGTCTTTAATTACGTAACAAGTTGTTATTTTAGTTCCATTAATAATGCATTCTTATAGGAACATCTTGAATGCCTATTAATGTTATGAATTTTTTTAAATAAATATGTAAGCATCCATGGTTGTAATCGGATATGCTTTTGATTTAGTTGCATTGCAAATTCTACTGCAAGAGATGCATGTATGGCCTAATGCCTTTTTGATTTCATAGCAATGACCATATTTTTAAATTGATTTTATTAAGTGTTTGTGCAGGTATATTTTGATATATCCACAGGGTTGTGATGTCTGCAATCATCTCTCTTTGTTTCTCTGTGTTGCTAATCACGACAAACTTCTTCCAGGTCAGTCTTCAGACGTACATCTTTATTGGTAACATCATAATTTCTAATTTATCCTATCTATTTGTTTATGAAATGTTAACAGGATGGAGTCATTTTGCACAGTTTACAATAGCTGTAGTAAACAAAGATCCAAAGAAATCCAAGTTCTCTGGTAAGTAGTTAAGAACTTCGCAATCTCCTTATGTTTGGTGTAACGTAACGTTCTTATACTTATTGTGGCATATATGTTTGCTAGATACATTGCACCGCTTTTGGAAAAAAGAACATGATTGGGGTTGGAAAAAGTTTATGGAGATCAGTAAGGTTTATGATGGCTTTGTAAATGATGATAATCTCGTGATCAAAGCTGAAGTTCAAGTAATTAGGTACCACTGCATATTTTAGTCAATGGACACTGTTTTTGGTTCGTTTGGGGCAGTTTTTTTACATTTTACCTTTTATATAATTGTCACAGTTTTGTTTGACTATAACTTTTCTTTTTCTTTCTCAAACATTTCTATTATGAAAACTAGTTTTTTACATTCAGATTTATTAGAGTATTATAGTAATAAGAAAGTTGCCATAAAAAATTTTTAAAACAAAAAAATTCTATAATATCTACAAAAATTAGAAGAAAATTCTACAACAGCTTCACAACAACTTTTACGGACAGTTGCAACTGCTCCAAATAGGTCTTTCACTATCTCCATTTTTATTGTTGTGTAGGCTGTCATTTTGCTAGTGTTTTTGGCTTAGATGAAGCTTTTTGAAGTGCAAGTTATTGTCTTTTATAATCGTTTCAATTCCTACGGTGCACCGATACGGATATGGCAACACAAATACAACACAATACAGATACAGGAAAACATCAATTATTAAAAGTATAGGACATGGGTACTGCGCGGATATGCATTATAATTTATAAATCGTGCATTAAAATTAAAAAAAAAATCAAAGCATAATATTTAAAAGAGAAAAGGATCAAAATGGCCCATCAACTCTTTATGAGAGACCAAAATAATCCCCAACTATTTTGAGGGATTAATTTGGTCCCTCAACTCAATGGGATTATTTTTATATTTGGAACATTCATCTTTAATTGAGAGTTCTTTATTATCCGTTAAGAGAGGTAATTAATTAGGTGTGCTTGCGCTCATAGGAAGTAAGGACCCAGATCTAACTAAACCATGACACTGCCATAAGGGGAAATCTAGTTAACTACAATCTTCCTCAAGGAGAGTATACTCCTATGGCTGTAAAACAGGATTCATGCCGACCGCCATTTTTCTTGTGCCAACACACCTGCTCGCGTATTGCTCCTTCTATGAAGACAAAGAAAGCGATGAAAATGAATGCTCCTTCGGCCTTCCCTTCTTGCATATAACCCTCCTACGACGTCTCTTGCTCGCGTAAATGAAAATACATAAAACTTAACCGCGCCTCTGCTCGCGAAAATGAAATAGTGATACGGGCAGATGAGTCGAACGAGCCATATCGGTCGCATTTCCTCTTGTTTTATTTAATTTTTTTCATCAATTAATAGGACATGTGTGTCTGACACGCGTGTTTGCAATGCGTGTCCCTTTCAATTTGAACATTATTTTAATTGGACACATTTTTACCATGTCTGAGCTGTATCAGGCGTATGTCCGTGTCGGACACGTGACGTCGGACACGTGACGGACACGTGTCAGATATTGCATACCTTTATAAATAGGTGTATCAGTGCATCATAGCTCAGTTCTTTGCATGAATTTCCATTAGTTTCTATGTACTTAAAACTATAACAATCTACGGGTTTATGAATAATATTTTCTTTTGAGGTTATTTTAATCCATGTAATAGAGTTTGCATGGAATAGTGGAGGGTTACTGTAGTTTGCAATGCTCTTAAGGGCTCAGGCGGCCGTGGAGAAGAGTAGAAGGGACAAAAGTCATTAAATAGTAAGTTGTGTGGTAGGAGGATGAAATTTGTTACCTTTGAGGACTACCGGCTGTCTCACTCTGAATTACTAAGAGGATGGGAAAACATTAAACAATACTAAAATTATAGAGGCGTTGGTTGACAATTTCGGTTGCAGGAAATATTTTTCATTCATTCATTACCGACAAAAAAAGTTTTAAGGACCTTCAATAGCATGTAACCCTTGGGTACGAGTACAGAAATGTCAAACAAAACAAACAATTTGGATAGTGATCTTAAGTCCTGAATAACAAAGCAAAAGTCATTTATTCTTAAGAGCTCAAATTCATGTTGTAACTTAAAATAACACGCAACAAAATCAATGAAATGTAGATGTAGATGTGACATATAGAAATTCTGAATTTGTTTTGGACGAACACTTTCATCATGCTAATAGAGTAAACCCAAAACTTGGTTTTATGCTGACCCACCCCTAGGTTAATCATCTGTCCACAAAAGAGGCAGATGCCTTAAGGGGTAACCAGCCAGAGGAAGGGTAGAGTAGTAAGTGTGGAGTTCACATAAGAAAAGTGGCAGGGATAAAAAAAAAAATTGACCAAGCACAAGGCTCCTAATTGGAAGACTAGAGCCATAGATTAAGCAACTAAATATGAGATTGAACGAGAAAATGGAGAGAATAATTGTGAAAAAATAGGCAATGGATGCTTACTGTGATATTGGAAATGTTCCCTAGGCAAGCTCTCCTGCAACGATGGTGACAAAAGTAGGTGGATCTTGTTTTTCCTCCATGACCTTTTATTGACCTTCCCCTTGCTCTTTGCTATAATGAAAGGCATTCAATTATATGCATATAATAAGAGTTTGGTCATGTGCTCCTGATATCCTGGCGTGAATTTTATGTTGAAAATTTATTTTTCAGGCTAGATGAAATGATAGATTTGGGCTAGCATTGGCATCTGTCATCTGATGTTTTTTCCCCTTGTTTGGACTTGTGGAGTTTCTTGAGGTTGAAAGAATTCTATGTTTCTCCTTAAAATTCTTAAATGTTCCAATTTAACATATTGCTATACGAAACCATTTTTTACTTAACTTACTCTTGCTAGTCATAAAATATGTTTGTAATTACTAAATATTATTGAGAATTTGTTGCCTTCAGCTGATATTTTATACTTATGTTCTTGAACATGATCCTAAAAGTACATTTTCATAACCGCATCTGCTTTTCTACTTTATTCTTTGAGGGAGAAAGCAAACCGCCCCTTCCGTTGCCTCGACTGCCAATATAGGAGGGAACTAGTTCGTGTATATTTATCAAATGTGGAGCAAATCTGTCGACGTTTTATTGAAGACAGAAAAAATAAACTGGGAAAGATGATTGAAGATAAAATGAGATGGTCAAGGTTAGATCTTTTTTTTTTAAAATTTTTGTTTCAGATGTGTGATCTACATTGCTTCACTTATTACTTGTACTAAAAAGTGAAGTTCTACTTTTTTTAGCGCATGAAAATTTTGTTTGACTAATTTTTCTTGAAATTCAAGCTTTTGTTGACTTAATTTTGCCTGGCTGCAGTTTTCATGCCTTCTGGACAGGAATTGACCAAACTTCAAGGCGAAGGATGTCAAGGGACAAGTCAGATACCATACTAAGAGTAGTTGTCAAACACTTTTTTGTGGAGAAAGAAGTTACTTCTACCTTAGTTATGGATTCACTTCACAGTGGTTTAAAGGCTCTTGAACACCACAGTAAGAACAAGAAAGGGAAATTAAAAATAGAAATGGAGGATTCATCAGATCCAATGGTTCGAGTTGAGAAAGATATGTTTGTTCTTGATGATGATGTTGTACTATTGCTTGACAGAGTAGCATCAGAGCCCCTTCCCACAACTTCTTTGCCTCCCAAGGATGACAAGGTGTCGCTGAACCGTGCTAAAGTAAGATAAATTTTTGTATCATTTTAACATATTTTTAGTAGAAAACTGGTTTCATGGAGCGTAAGATTTTACCAGCTTTCCCTTCTGACAAACTTGATCATCTGGTAGTTTGTATGCTTGGACTGTAACTAAGAAGCTTTCACTTTTTTATGAGATTATCTGTTCTTCTTCTCTTTGTATGCGTAAATACTAATAATTATTTTACTTTAATCAGGATGAATTGCATGCTTAAGATATTGCCACCCAAGGACCTGGCTGTTTTCTGTGAGATTCTATTGCTGCTTCTTTAGTTAGTTAGTCTACTTGGATTTATTTTTTTCAAAGTTTTAACTTAGTGGATTAGATAAAAAAAGTAGTAATATTTAGTCGATTTAGAGGAAAGTACACTCTTATCGAGGAAACATAAACATATGTTTTCTCTCCTTATTTTATTGGACATTCCTCATAGAACTTCTTATAAAGTGGTGGATGCGAGGCATGCAAACCTGAGGTGTATCAGTGACGACAAAGTTGCTATCACTAGGACAGACTGGAAAAGTTAAGGAGATTTTTGTGTTAATCAATCAATAATTTAGTAGTGTACTCCAAGATATTGGCCTTCATGATTAGGATAAATGGTGTGCTGGCCTGTAACTGACGCCAGCCCCACACACACAACCCCTAACTACCGGCTCTCACTACCCACGATCACATGACCTCACCGCTCCCCACGATCTCTCCCACATACAGTAGAGAGAAGGATTAAAACAGAGAGATTGGGAGAGGTTACCTCAGAGACAATCGAAGCCCGTCCGCCTCTGCTCCTCATCCCGCCGATCTCCTGTGCCGGACCGACCTCCAGCTGTGCGAACTGACCTCTGCTACCATACGCAACTCCAAGCCGACGCCATCTGTCGAATAAGCCACGCCGACCCAACTCCTCCGACTCCGACCTCCTTCACGCGATGCCAAGCCCGCCGACCTCTAGCTGTCGAGTCCAATCCGACGTCGGCCACCTCACCGGTCGAGCCCATGCTGCCAGCCAACTCACCCCAGCCCAATTTCCGCTTGCTCCCGCCTCAGACCTGTGCGTGTTCCGGCCCCTCTCTCTGTTTATATATACTTTATTTTAATAAGAAAAAGAGATGAGGGATTTTTTTTAAACCAAGCATCGACAACCGACTACCAACAACCAATCATCAACGACAATTATCTGCAACCAATCACCGGCAACCAATTACCTGCAACCAATCATCGGCATTCATCAATTGGAGCTTCAAAACACAATTCCGGGACCCGACAATGTCCCGAAGCCCTCGGCCGTTGATTATCTTTCCTGCCGGGAAAACCAAAAGGGCAAGTGCCCTCCTCAACCTCCCCGCGAGGGGATGGGGCGCCGGAAGGTTGTCGGATTTTTAAGGGGATTTAAAATATTTTTTAAAAATCAAGTAAAATCAATAATCGACAATAATCGACAATCGTCAATTGGAGCTTTTGAAGACCATTTTCGGGACCTGACAACGTCCCGAAACCCTCAACCGTTGACTATTTTTCCTGCCGGGCGGATCGAAAGCGCAAATGCCCTCCCCAACGTCCCTGCGAAAGGAGGGGGCGCTGGAAGGCTGCCAAATTTTCAAGGGGATTTAAAATATTAAAAAAAAATAAGTCTGTTAATCGACACATCGCGTGCAACAAAGACATCCGAAGACCAATTCTGGGACCCGACAACGTTCTGAAGCCCTCGGCCGAAAACTATAACTATCTTTTCGGCCGAGCGGATTGAAAGGGCAAGTGCCCTCCTCTACCTCCCCTCGCATGGAGGGGACGTCGGGAGGTTGTTGAAATTTCAAATGACACAAAGAGCCCTTACAATTAATTTCAAAATATAAATAATAAAATATACATATAGATAATTAAAATTTGTGTAATTCAATTAATAAAAAAGGGGACCATCATACTTGAATCATACTCATAATTCCATTGTGGATGGTCAAGATTGAGATCATTTATGTTAAAATGACTCCAATACTGGTGGATTTAACCTTTGCCTCCCAATCATTAATGTGGATTGATTAGTTGGGATGAGCTAATTTCATAATACGATTACTGTGGTCATTGCAGAGGAAGTAAAATTGAAATAAAAATTTAGAGTCCATGCTGCCAATCTTTGATCACATATTGCCTATGATATTGGAATTGAAAAGAGTACCAAACTATGATTCTCTAATAATTGATCACAAATGACTTGATGATTTGGTATATGGAAACCTCAAAAAATACCCATTATTCCATAGATGGAGACATATCATAAATAAGTTGAGGGGTAAGGATGAAAGGATCTTGTTGATCTAGAAAACAAAAAGCTATGCTATGATGGTAGGAGCTTGATGGTCACTTGTTGATTTAAGGATATCTTTAAATATAATGATGGTATGATTTATTTTATTGGGCATAAGTATACTAAAGTCAATACTTAATCGATTGACAAGAGTTTAAATCTTTCAATATTGACTTTAACTGCAATTGATGAGGGAGAATGTAAGAGACCATAGAAAAGAGAGATTTGGGTTTAGTATTGTCAACCCCTAAGATTATATTATCATTAGTATGTGCCAAGAAAAATAAAGATATTTCCTTTGGAGAAGAGGAGCTTTCATCTCTTCCACTTACAAGATGTGATATGATATTGAATCATGAAAATAGTGACTCCTTTAGTTCATTTGAAGGAAATGTGAAAAGCTATTGAGTCGAGTTGTCAGAGCATAGTTACAAGATCATCTAATACAAGTAACTTAGGTTACAATGATAAAAAGAAAAGGATATTGTATTCAGATAGGAATATAGTTTTGGTGGTAGATGGTGGAATTGACAATAATCACGCAAGCAAAGCTTACACATCATCAAACAAGTTTTAAGTGCAAACATGACACTCAAGCATACTACAATTCACTTATGAGCAAGAATAGGGAATTTGTAGTGCATACAGCAATAGCCTACAAGCAAGGACAAGGAGTTTGTATCAAACAAATCAGTCTACCTACTGGAGAGAATAGGGGAACTTATAGCAAGCAAGATAATTCTCCTACGAATACGAGCACGGTCTCCTAATACCTATTGAGCAAATACCGTCTACGAGCCGTGCTAAATGACACTTTAAGGAGTCAAAGTGAACTAAACAATATCTCTTTTATACATGCAAGAACTGAAGCTAAAAAGTTCTTACACCACTGGATCCACAACATTTATACAAGCGGATAGAAGGCTATATCGTTATGATAACTCTAATCTATATGTTAAAATCCACCCTGCATGTGCTCCAACAAACGTGTTAAAGTTACAAATACAAATGTCTGAGAATATTGTGCAGGGTCAAATGCTCACTAATGTAACATTCTATTTTCAAAATAAAAATAACCCACATATGCTCGGACAAATGCAATAAAGTTACACAAGCCAATGTTTGAGAATGCTGCGCGGGTCAAATATTCAATTCTCATCCTCCTCCATGAAAGGATCGGAGTCGACCTGACTTGAATCATAAAATGCCTCCCAAATTCTTGCGAAAATATCCCAAATTCTTGCGAAAATACCAGTGACTTTAATGTCACCCTGATGATGGCCGTGTTGATTGAAAATCTTAACCGGATGGGTCAAATCCTAATACTAAGAAAAATATTGAATTCTTAAAATAAAATTTATCACCTAAAAATTTAAAACTAAAACTCATCCGCCTCCAGCAACTATTTGTCGGGTGTGATAAATTTGAAATCAACCTCAGCTCACAAAGAGCGAATGTTGTGTCGGGTGTATCACTAAGATTCATCCTTAAATAGTCTCTTGCCAGCAGGCACATGGCATGTGCCATTTGATCAGGTGGTTTTATTGTGAAATGACACCATTATATTATGATCACGGCCAAAGCCCACATGTTCCCGAAAGGCTTCAAACCCTTGAGTAATGAATCATAGGGTATATTCGATAGCCATAAAGCCCTCTGACAGCTAAGATGGATTCAAATCTATCTCCTTAGACAAACACCAACCCATGCCTACAAGGTATTCTTGGGCGAAGCAACCCATGACTGCCGATAAGATACCTTCTGTCAGGTTGGGTCGACTACCTCCTCTAACTAAGTAGAACAGGGAATATGATAACCCGGAACGACGAAACCATGGGATCTTGATCGGTCTCGTTTCATTCCCCCCACCACTAGTTTAAGTTTATGGTGATAAATTCCAAATCATAAAATCAAATTCAAACCCTAAAACTGTTGTTATCATATGTTGGATTTACAACCTATGTAACCTCTTTAACAACTAGCTTTAATCGAAAGTTATCTCGTGTTATCGTGAGGGGTTAGGGGTGTAAGTGAGCCAAGTCGGCTCGAGCACGACTCAATAATGAGCTCGTGAGCCAAGCTTATCGATCCACTAGCTCGAGCTCGAGTTTGAGCTGAATGAGGCTTGGCTCGTGAGCTCGCGAGCCGGCTCGAAATTATTTAATTAATTAAATTATTTTAATTAAATTAATTAGTGAACATATTTTTATTTTTTTTAAAAAAATCTATTCTTTACCTGTTTCGGCCTATATGATAGTTTTTAGAAAAGTATTCATGTTTCAGCCTGTATGACAGGACAACCTATACCTCCTCTTCATTAATATATGGGAAAAGTTTTAAAAAAATATGAATAAAAACTATTAGTTATTTTCCCCAAAAAGAGCTACTGCAAGTTCATGTTTAAAAAAAATTCTAGTGTTTCTACTTTTTGAAATACGAATGGACAAGGTGGCAAAATGAAAAATTGGGCCCGGAAAAATGGGACAAATGCGAAATCTAGTCATAATCGAGCAGCTCACGATCTGGCTTGAGCTCTTTAATAGTGGGACGAGCTCGAGTTTGAGCTTGACTTGAGCTCGCTTTCTGACTGATGAGCCGAGCTCGATAGTGCCACTCCACTCGACTCGTTTACACCCCAGGAGGGGTAATTAACTATAGGGGCTTGCGCCTATAGGAAACCACAACTCAGATCATAAAGTCCTCACAAAATGAGGGTGAAATCTCTATGTAATTTCTTATCTAAAACACAATTTGCTTTCTGAAATTTCACCCAGAACCTAAGCTCGTTAACTCTCCGCCGTCAATTATACAAACAAGAAAAGAAAATAGACTGGCACGGAGAGGCCGGGGAGCGAACGTGGAATTTTCAGAGCCCACATGGTGCTTGGCCCCTTCTATGAGTTAAGCTTTACCATTGAATTTACTCGATATTCAAAGCATACCCTTGTTGGATGATGTACTTTATTCTTGACTTCCAAATTGCTTACGCAACATGGAAAGAGACTAGCAAGAAAGAAAATGGCTAGAATAGGTACGGAAGAGGATGGTGTAAATTTTGAAGGGGTTTCCAGTTTGAGAGTACGGATAATTTACTTGATAATTTAATAACCGCAACCAAACTTGGGAGGTATGTTTAATGGTAGTTCTTTGATTTTGTTGTGCTGTGCTGTTTGCTATGAAATGCCGTTATTGCTAGCATACCAAAGATAGACAATCTAATCTGGGTTTCCTTATCATGGAACATTTGGGGTTGCACGGATGGACGATATTGTTTTCATACATTAAACTTATGATATGTCAATTTTTTCATAAAAAATAGTCGCTGAAACTAAATCCCAAACGAGGATAAATGTTAAGAGGGATAAAATAAGTTTGTACTGCATCTTTTATTTCCTTTGAAATTGTTAAATGACTACATCTCTACTGGATTTGCTTTTTGCACGTAGAAAGAGTGAGGAATCATGGTTTCATTAAGTATTGAGACTAATTGTGAAGTCTTATGACATAAGTCATGCTATATGTCGACCACTTTCACTCAAAACTCAAAAGAGTAACTATTTGTATGAGAAATTTACTAATTAACCAAGTTGTTTGTTGTATCACACTCTATCCATCTCTGTTTTTTCATCATGAAGAAACTTGGTAGACTTTTTACTTGTGGTATTCATTTGTCTTTTAAATTATCCCCTTGTTCATTTATGTTTAATGATTATTAAGTTTCTGTTTGGTGTATAGGAAGGCAGTTGTTGTGAGGAGTTCAATAAGGAGTCTATTGAACGTGATGAAAGACGTCTAACAGAGTTGGGTCAAAAAACTATAGAAATTTTTGTCGTTGCTCATATTTTCAGGTAATTTTTGTCTTAGTCCTTTTTTTTTTCCACAATTCACTTTCTATATATACATATATTTTAAGATATTTTTTATCCATAGTATACTAACAAGATACAAGACCCTGTGAAAATGCCTTTGGAGATCCTGGAAATTTATAAAAAAAGTTATGTTTTTATGTTTTATATGTCCATATGCATGCATATTAATGTTCTAACACTTTATATCTATATTTAAGAACACATAATATATTAAATATAGTGGAATCAAATTTACGTCAAGAGTAAAGATAAATAAGAGAACATTTAAACATTGATTTAGAAAAATCATATGATATTCAAAAATCAATTTGAATTTATGTTAGGGCGTTCTATTTATAGGCTATTTTTGTGCTAAGGTAATTAGTTGAAAATTCTTGAGCGTGATGGAAGGACTTATATGATTTATTGATATTGGAATACATTTGATTGAGTAATTTGAGAATTAATTTGGTGAGTATGAAGGAGAAATCATATATATCTCAAAGACTCAAACTATAACGTATGTTGATGTTGTTAAAAATATATATGATGGAGCAATGATTGACGTTAGAAGTAGTTTTGGATAAATCAAAGAATTTTCAGTCACATTAGGGATTGGCATTAAGTTTTTATCTTTTTGTGTTGGTTATAATTTCTTACAATAGATAATTAAGCAAGGTACCTTGATGTATGCTATTTGCATATGATGATTTTCATAAGCAACGTTTCTTCTGAAATGATGAAACTTCATTATGAGACAAATTTTTAGAAGATAGAAAACATAGTTTTAGTAGCAAAACTTGAGAACACAATATAAAAGCTTAGCGAACACATAATTGATAATTAATTTAGGAAGATTGAGTGATACAAAAATGTGTTACTCAAACATTCTTATTCTATTTTAGAGAAGAATAAGGGTAGAGATGAGGAAATGACTTCTGAAGTAAAGATAGATGTTTAAAATTGTGAAATATTTTAGTGGTATCATGCAATTAGATTATAATGCGGATCCTTGTAAGAAAATTTTATAAAATTTTAAGCAAAATATCTATTATTTAGGGATGAGAGTTTTGGACAACAAAGAAGTCATTGATAGTTTTGTTGACCAGGATAAAAATAATGATATTGTCATTGAATTAATTGTTAAAGTTAGAAGCAGCAAAGTGAGGAGTGGCAACATTAAATATATGATTGGAATAGATATGAAAGTTGAAAATAGTTTGTAGATAATTTATGCATCTATAATGGAGCTTATAAGACGCAACAATAATGTAGGTAAATAGAAATAACGTGGAAGGATTATAATGAAACAGGGGTAGATAAAATGTAATATGGATGATAGTTATATAAAAAATATGTACAAAATAGAGTTGAGCCTTAATGGGATACTCGATGGAATGAATGGAGAAGGATCAAATATAAAATTGATCCAACGTTTGATGTTGGGATATGAGATAATGATAATGTTGGTGTTAGCAATCTCATATGTATGTATTTAGATATTTGATATTCATATACACGTTTAGAAAAATGAAAATGCATCTATCATGGTCAAGAGTTGAGACAAATATAAATAAAATTACAAAACTAATATACACATGCATACGTGCGCTTGTATGCAAACGTGTGGGTGAGCTTGCATGCGGGCACCATAGGTGCATGCATGATTGTGAGTGGTATAGGAAAATTAATTGTACAGGGTCTAATGCAATCGATGATGAGATGCATAATAAAAGCATACAAAAGATCACAATCCACATGTTGCAAACTAATAACTTAACAAAAATCAACCACTTCTAATGTAAAAACATCAAGCACATTTATTGCCTTCTAAACAATATTATAATAGTCTAAAAAAAATCCACATGGATGAATTTGGCATGCATCACATTTGACATGATTTCAATGTCATACACACTAGTGAGTAAATAAATTAAAATTAAGAAAATTGATATAAATCATTGAAAGTGAGAAACCATGCCTCACATTAGTGCAAGATGTCTCTCTCAGAAGTAGTCGACAAAATTCTCAATGCATTCAAAGATTACACATCTAACTAGCATACAACATTGAGAAAAATGGAATTTTATTTTAATAATTAATATTCTATTATTTTGGCATTCATCATGGATGATACTTTTGTATTTTTTAATTTATAAGTGGATCAAATAAAAAAAAATTAGAATCCTCCTAAATTTAGTAAAAAAATGGCAATTCTAAACTTTGTAGCACATAAACAATAGGGATCATCTTTATGTTTCTTAATTTTCATGTGAATTTATCTTAATAATTCATTAACAATTGAGATTATGACAATTGGTATAAAGCCAGCTTAGGAATTTAGCAAAATGAAAAAAACAACAACAATCCAATAACAACAACAACAACATCAAGTTTTATCCCATTATGTGGGATCGGCTATATGTATATTTTTTCTCCATTGTGGTATGTTAAGAGTCAAATTCTCATTTAAATCTAATAAAAACAAGGCAATTTCTAATACTTTGTAAAAATATCTTTATAGGTCTACCTCTACTATTCTTAATATAGGTTGGATCTAATACATTTACTCTCATAACTGGATCATCGTAAAGTTGATGCTTTATGTGACTCAACTATCTAAGGTGACTCTCTAATATGATTTGGCATTGGAGCAAGTCCAACCTTTTCACATATATACTCATTTCACATTTTACCTTTAATATAAAGCCACTCATCCACTAGAGGATTCTCAGCTTTGCATTACTCAAACTTAATTTTATACTTCTCTTTTAATGACCAACATTCTATGCCATAAAGTATTGCAGGTCTTATCACCAACAACAACAACAACAACATCAAGCCTTTATCCCACTACGTGGGGTCGGCTACATGAATCCTTTTTCTCCATTGTGTTCTATTAAAAGTCAAATTCTCATTTAAACCTAATAAAGAAAGGTCATTTGGCTAACTTATTGCAGGTCTTATCACCGTTTTATAAAATTTTTCCTTAAATTTGAGCGATATTTTTCTATCAAACAACAAACCCAATGCATTCCTTCACTTTAACCATCCAACATGAATTCTACTAATAATATATGTATTTATTTCACCATTACTTTGAACAATAGACTTGAGATATATAAAATGTGCACTCTTTTTAATGACTTGATCTCTTAATGTCACATTCTTACCACTAGATCTATTACTACTTAATTTATACTCCATGTGTTCAGTTTTTGATCTACTCAAACAAAAAGCTTTAGACTCCCTTGTTGATTGTTGGTGATGTGGAGTAAACACCACAATGATAAAAAGCAAGAAAGTAAAAGCAATGAAAAATAGAGGACACTAGGATTAATGCGGAAAAACCCAAAATAGGAAAAAAAATCACAGAGTCACACCACACCAAGAAATTCACAATTAAAATTCGGAAAAATAAGTACAGATCTCTCCTCTCTCAATATCTCTTTGTTTCTCTTCTCACATGCACCGTTCTCTTTGTCTAACCACTTAAAATATAAGATAAAGCCAAGTAAATAACCCCAAGGGACGCAACCATTCAAAAAAATGAGAAATAAAACCGTTCAGTCTGTCTCGCAGCGCTGCGGCGCCAATTTGGAGCTCTGCGGCGCTTGACACTCTGCCTTGATTTGTCGTGGCATCGTATCTAGACCGCTGCGGTGCTTCGCTCTCTGTCGTTTAGTCTTGGGCGTTCGAGAACACAGTGCTGAGGCGCTCAAGTATGTAGCGTTGGGGTGCTCGTGTAACACCCCACGATACCTCTACTAGTAACTCAGAGTGTCACAGAGAATATATTCATAATTTTCAACATATAATAATTCTAAGCATTTTCATATGTATATTTCTCCAACTACATTATACATATTTTTCTTGTTGGCATGTCAAAACAAAAGAGAAAGCTCCACTCATATCTACTATTCCACTAAACCAAGTGTGCTTGCATAATGCTTTAAGACTTCAACCCGTGTATTTTGATTTCCACTAAACCAAGTGTCCTGAATAAACGAAACTATCTACATATTCCTACTTGCATCACATAAGTAATTACAGAGCTATTAGGAAAATCAAAATACATCACTATTATTTGACTGTATACATTAGGGGTGTCAATTTCGGGTCACGGGTCGGGTTCGGGTCGAACCCAGAACTGACCTGGGTTCAAACGGGTCGACCCTAACCCGACCCGGGTAGACAAACGGGTCGGAAATTCGAACCCGGACCCGACCTTGCGGGTTGCCGGGTTGACTCGACCTGACCCGATTTTGGGTTCTGCTGGTGCCGGAACGGCGGCGGGGCTGGAACCCGAACCCGACCAGTTTTGAAATCGGGTCGGGTCCAACCTGGATTTTTCGGGTCGGGTCCGGGTTGGGTTTTCGTGTCGTGTCAAATATTGACACCCCTAGTATACATACCTCATAAACACTGTTAAACAAAAAGCTAAATATTCAATAATCTGAGACAACTCTGCTTCAATTTTTCCCTCACCTTTTCTTGTAACAACAGCCAATATAAAAAAATTAATTAGTTATGAAATCATAAAAAAAAAAAAAAAAAAAAAAAAAATAAAGCTATGCAATTTAAATAAGAAATTAAATGCAAGATTATAAGGAATAACATAATTAAAATCATAATTGAATCAACTTACAAACATTTGCAAAACAACATAAAAATCATATTTAGGATCAACATTTATTTCAATGATAGCATGTACAAAATATTATAATTAGTCTTCTAAGATTCTGACCATCATTTTTCATATAGTTAACTTTCATAAGACTGTTCAATGGAGCCCAGATAAACCTGACATTGTCGTCATTGAACTATATAGAGCCCAGATAACTCAAATGTGCATGCAGTTGCTTATACATGAATACTTGATTGTATACTTATATTCATTAAATTGAATAAGCTTAATATCCTTTTTCCCTTTAATGAATTAAAAATCAACTCTCCATACTTATAAATGAAAGTATCTATATTTTTAATTAGATTTGCAT